AGGCACAGCTGCAAGTCACTAAGGAGTTCCCATTTTTCTTTCGGCTGCAGACAGAACAATTTCATTGTTCACTCAACAAACACTGAATGCCCATTTGGTGCCATTTAAAGAAAGCAAATAGATATTTACTGTGTGTCCCCTATGCCAGTTACGGTTTGCTATGCTTGGACCCTAAGGAGAAATGCCAGATGACTTATGACAATCGTGGCAAGAAAATATTCGGTTGTATGTTCGCAGATATTTTTCATCTCAGACAATAAGCATCTACTAGTTGGAGAGGCAATGAATAGAAAATATCCCCAAAGAAAAGTGTCAGCTCCTGGGCTCGTGCAGTCAGCATGGTTGTGCACAATCACAGGCTCTGATTAGGACAAGGGGACACAAAACTTACATGCACTCGCTAAATGGCTCTGTTACTTCTCATTCTAGCTTCAATTATACTAGCTCACATAAAGTAGAACACAAAGTTAGTACAGATTGTGAAAGCCACTAAATGGCGATGATGACACTTTTTATGCTGAAAAAAATCATTTGATGAGATTTATTCTAAGATCAAAGCAACAGAGCGGTATTTTGATAAAAAAGCACTAGAATCTAAAAATGCCAAAAATACATATTTAAAGAAGTATTCATAGTCAACATCATTAACTTTAAAATTTATCTTTCAACAATATTTATTTATTCATGTGTATATGTGTGAGCTAGTGTGAGTACATGAACACCATGTGTGTGCAGGACCCTGTCTGAGTAAGTCCGAGGGTATCAGATTCACTGGAAATGAAGTTACCAGTGGTAGTGAGCCTCTGTGTGGGAGCTGGGAACTGAACCTGTGTCCTCTGCAAGAGCAGTAGATGATATTAACCTCTGACCCACAGCTCTAAATGTTATCTTAAAATGCATATTTTCCCTTTGAAGTATTAGCTAGTGATAAAATGTTCTCAAGTCATAACAATTAGCATATGAAACATTGTTTTCTGTTTGTCTTATTGGAATGATCTCTTTTTATTTAGAATTACATTTAAAAACAAGCACATTCATGAGGTTGTTTATATAGAAAGTGTAGCATATCCAAGTGTATTTGCATATATCAGGGAGATGTGATCAAAAGCATTTCTCCATGGAGGTGTATAGAAGAAAATAAATTGGAATGTATAGAAAAAAATTTTGGGAAATGAAGGTTGAGTGATGTAGCAGTATCTGACAGAATACAAGAAGTGTGGGAAGTCTCAGCTCAAGTCCAAAATTTTCTGCACAGCCTATGAAAAACATCTGATGTGGAATATGGCATAAATCAATATTTAAGGTCTATATTATGACCTTAAAATATGAGTGTGAAAACTTTGACACTATATTGAGAAGTAGGGACTACGTTCATGTCTGTTTTGACCAAACAGACTTTGTTGCCAATAAAGTCATTTTGAGTTTGAGTGGATCATTCGACAGGTTTGGGCAACAGAACTTGGTACTTTTGGGACGTTCACTATGCTGGGGGGGAAGCTCACTGCTATGTACGAAGTTTAACTGCCCTCAGGCAGCCATCCAAGGGAGGCCATGTGCAGGTGAACGATGCTCGTGAGCCTTATCTTCTGAGCCATGCACACGAGTGAGTCCATATTGTGCCTTCTTTCCCAGTCTGTTGGCCGTGTCAATAGCAGTGAATGATCTTGGGAGTTATTAGAAGGCACAGAACAACACCATCAGATCTTCACTCCAGTTTCTTACCTATACAAGTTCTGAGATATAGTCTTGGGTTTTTTTGAGGTTCTCTGTTACATAGTGACAGCTAACTGCCAGCATGTGCCACCCAAAGTGATGTATGCGGTAGGTAGGATTGAATAGCTCTAACTACCTAGAACGGCCCATTTAATAGTACATACCTAAGGTTCAGCTGACAAAGTTTTCTGGAGCTAATAGGTATTAATACCAAGTATTAGTAAAGAGAAATTTCTTTATAAACAATATCACTAGTGTATATCGTTGCATCTTACAGAGCAGATGAGTGGTGCTGTTAGTTAGGGGATGGTAGTAGTTTTAAGGGGATGTAGTAGTTTTAGGGGATGAGCAGGATGTCATCGGCATGTACCCTCACAGTGACTGTGGAACCTCAGCCTTTTCCTATCTTTGCTTTCTAGGAACAGAATGAGTGACTGCTCTGCCCACTGCTCCGTTACTGTCATCTGGTCTACCCACAGGGGGCCAATGCAATGGGTCTGCCTGATATTGCACCGGAGTCTTCAAAACTGGAAGTCCAAACAAACCTTCCCTGTGGATATGTTATTACCACCAGGTATTTCAGTGCAGTGACAGGGCGCTAACAAAGCCAACTCTACCTTTTGCTGATGTGACTGCGCCGCCTTGAGGAGCTCACTGGAAGTGCAAGCTCCTAATCAGCTGTGGTCCTGCACAGGAAGACTGAGGAGTCTTTAGCACAAAGTGGGGGAAATGATCCTTCACGGACATTTCTTCCAGGGACCTTTTCATAGAGGTATGAAGAACCACCACACAACTTTCCATCTAAGATATTTTACTGTTTAGTTTGTACCCAATCAAGAATTAAGATAGATATAAAAGATCCACACTGCCATGATGGCCACGCTTCCTTTTGTATTCAGACAATTTGGGAGAAACTACTTGAAAGGGTAAAAACAACCCTACTGCTAAGTGGTGGCATTGATGGTGGTGGTGGTGGTGGTGGTGGTGGTGGTGGTGGTGGTGGTGTGTGTGTGTGTGTGTGTGTTTGGACTAATAGAGATAATTAGTTGCTTATGGTATAAAATAACAGGAGACACCTTTGGACAAAACGTTTTCCTTAATTTGAAAAAAAAAATGACTAAAGAAGAATTTGTGTCTTCTGCTTTATGTTCAAGATGAGCATACCAGAGAGCTGACTCTTGGTGAGGTTTTGGTAGAATTACATCTCCTTCCAGCCCATGGCCTCCAGTAACCCATTCTAGGATAAACAGTCTCCATTCCTCAGTATGTTCTAAGGATGAGCTGTCCAATCTGCCCACACGTGGCAGACAGCTAAGTCTCCCAGTCACATTCCATGAGCCGAAGTGGCAGCTCACACTGGAATCTGCCTGTGCCCTGTGAGACTAAAGAGAGAGGTTCCCGTGATGGACAAAGCCCACGGCCTCAAATAACTCAAATGGCTCGTCCACTGCAGTCCTTTCTCAAGGTCATTTATCTGGTGAGCCTTTCCCCGTCTGCTTTAAAGATTTTTGGAGCCATTTCCCACATCACAGCAAAGAACAGACATCAGTGGTCAGAGCTATAAAAAGGAGAGGACAAGATTTATTCCTACCAGATTAGGGAAAGTGGGTTCACGAATCCAACAGTTCTCCTGAAGTGGAATCAAAGAGGCAGTTGGCAACGTGTCTTACTCATCTAAATCAGTGTGATGACATTAAGTGTGGGATGCAAAAGAGAAGAGGACGTTACAGGAAATGATTAGATTCCCGATTACTAACTAAATTAATTGTTACTATTAATCAAGTTAGAAGAGATGGGAAAGAATTTTGACCAGAAGGCACGACTATTCCCCCGCCCCCCGTCAGGGAATGTCACTCAAATTCTGGGACAGGATAATCAGTGACAGTGCCATTCTATCCCATCACCTCGAACAGGCCCTCGGGAGTCAGCTGGATTCAAGGAAACCCTTAAACGTGAACAGAATCAAATGGCAAAGACTTGGCTTCGTCTAAAATAACAGGGAGCTTGTTGAGCTAAGTGTTACCGTCGCCAAAATCCCAGATTGTGGAGATTGCCTTACGTGGAAATCAAGTCACTTTCTGGCATACAGTTTCACTCATTAAGGCTCGGCTAACCTGGCCAGTGCTACTGAGGACAGCCAGAGAGATAGAATCAGAAGGAGGCCTCTCAGCCAGCATCACCCTGATGAACTCCAATCTTATTTCCGCCACTGCAGCATCTGCATCCATCTCTATTTTGTTCACCGACCTCAAGTACTTAATACCCACATGTATGAGTAGAGTCATAACCGAATGCCCTTTGATTAGCTAAGACTAACATTTCATCTCGTTGAGTTGAGTTACTTAATGTGTTTTGAATTTTTTTTTCCAGACTGTTTGCGTGTTTGGAGAAGTGTTTAGCAATTTGGCCAATGTGGTTTTGGGGAAAGTGCTATACTTTGTGGATTTAAAACAATGGAGCTATGCAGAATGGGGTTAGCGAAGAAAACTTGGGACTTGAGAGTTCTGCTAGTAAACACCCGGCTTCAGAACACAGTTACACCCTTACACAATGAGCCCCGTCTCTTTCTTTGTCTTCTTCGTGTCTCTGTTCTACCGGAGTTAGCCCTCCAGTAACAGCTCAGCAAATGTTTATTGAGTAAATTAATGAGCACTAATTTAAAGATAATTAAACAATTAGTAGGTAATGAATGATTTGTATTTAGCAATTTATAATAAATTACAAATTACTTAGTTAATCAGTAAATAATTAAGCTTCAAAAGAAATAACTATGAGATATTCAGTAAGTAAACAACAAATGGCCAGAATAAAGAAAAAAAAATCCCCTAAAATGAAAGGGCCAAAATAGTGGATATTTGCGATGAAAAGAAATGTTATTATTTTCTCACGGTGTAAGATATTAAGTGGGTACTGAAACAAAATTAGATAAATTAGTGTGAGTAGTGCAATTCGCAGTATCATCTCGCATAATAACCTATTATTAACAATGATTTATTTAATATTCAACTGCTAAATGCCCAATTTAGAATCTTACTGTTTAAGCATCTTGAGAGAATTTTCTATTCCAACTGCATTGCTCTGCAGACGAGGAGTCGGAGACTCATTTTGGATGAACACCTGCCCTATGCTTCTTGGCAAGTGCACAGCTCACCGCACATCCAGGCAGTCCGTTCCTTGAATTTATCCCCTCTGCTCCCGTGTCTCCAGTGTCTACCATGGATCCTTTCTAGGATGAAGGGCAGCTCACTTGTGACTTCTAAATTAGTATTTATTGAGGTATACTCGAAATGACTGTCATTTTAAAGCACAATGTTTTGAAGTGGGTCTCTGATCTTCTGCATCTAGCATGGCCTTGCCCCGAGTGGTTTATGAAACATTCATTTTTAGCGTCACTTCTTCCAGGGAGCAGAGGAGACCTGTTCGTAAATCCAGTTTAATCTTTACCCATTCTTTTAAACTGTCCTCTGTAAGAAAAGCCAACTCAAATGTGTACAAGAAACGTGACAATAAGAGATGTGAACCACAAAAACATCCCAAAAGAAAGTCAACCAGTTCTTCAATGAAAACAATGAAGTACCAGCATGTTTTTTTATCATCTGGTAAATGCACATAGTCATGTGCACACACAGGACCCCAACATGTGGCACTTCAGTGAGGACTGCTTTCCCCATTGTTTTCAGTCATTCTGTCTCTGCGGCTTTGTTAGAGATCTCAAAAAGGATGTTGAGAAAATTTTTGTGTCTTTCCTACTTATAATTAAAGGTAGCAGTTTCTCTTGTTGAATAATAACTTCAGCATTACATGATCTCAAATGATGATGTCTGAAATAGATATATCACAAGAGAGTATTGACTCTTAAGACAATCCTCTCCTTGATATAAAATACTCCCCACCCCAAACTGCATATTAAAAGCAACAGGTTAGCAGTTCTATGGTAGGTAAATATGGCTGTGGTGAGTATTTAATTAACAAACGCAAAACAATCAGAGTAGAAATGACAGAATTTTTCTTAGAGTGAATTAAAAAAATAGAAAGAAAAGAAAAATTAGTCTTAAGTGTCAGGAGAGCAGAGTGCTGCCATCTGCTGGCAATGGAATCTGGGTCAAATTCCCCTTTTCACTTTTTTTTTTTCTTTTGAGATTAATTTCATTTCAAATCCTTTGGCGATTTCATTCACATCTATGATTAAGTCTATCGGTATCATTTATTTTTCTTCCTTTATTTCCTTCCACTTTTGCCTTCTCTTCCTTATCCCCCCTCTTTGTTTTAAACACACAAATTGTAGACTATCTGAAAAGGGAACCACACTAACATTCCACGAACAGGGTTCTAAGGTTAGATAATCTGTGACATGATACTCAGTAAATTTCAAATGTGGTCCACATCTCAACGGGAGATTTCTTTACACCTAACAAAACTCGAGAGAGTCTGGGAGCATCTAGGACATTTGACAACCATGTTCGGAACTCGTTTCGGGCCCTCAGTGGTCTCCCTTGCACCTCGTGTAGCGGCACCTGTCACCTCCCATCTCATCCTTCCCACCTGCTCCATGGGCTCCATTAGTGCGCCTGGGACTTCACGTGGGCATATTTTACAGAGACAAATTTATTGTCCCCCCGTTCTCTTTTCCTATGTGCTCAGCAGATCATCACTGTGAATTTATTACTTAATTGAAGGTTCGGGGTTAAGATGACTCTGGAAAGAGTATGGGACCCCCTCCACCTGCTGATGGCTCTGCCTCATCATCCACTGGAAGGTTTATGAAGAAGGACAGGGCCTAACAAGTGACCTTTAAAAACTGCTCAGTCTGTTCTCCCCCGAAAGGAATTCTAATGTCCTCATGGCTTATGTTACGGGCTGTGTACAACTGCTGGGGAAAGACGCTGAAAATTTAATGAATTTAAGAAAAGCTGTGCAAGCTTCTCCTTTAGGGAAGCCTTGGGGAAGAAGGTAACAGACAGAAAAAGCACAATCAAAGAAATTACACTTTCCCCAAAGATGGGGACTCAGTGTGGGCTAAACTGGTACTCATTTTTATCGAGAGCTGGGGTCATTACTGTGGCTGGTCATAGACGTGGAAAGAGAGAAGGAATCTGACCAATATCCGAGGAACCAATGCTAGAGAAAGATAATTGTTACTCTCCTGTCTGAGTCATGGAGACTAGATCAAGGGTCTTAAGAAGCTGTGCTTGGCATGTGTTGTGTGTGTGAGTGCTTGCACACACACACACACACACACACACACACACACACACACACACACGTGCGTGCCTGTGTGCACTTAAATATGAGGTAGAAATGTCCCTGACACTATGCAAGAATCTGAGACATGGCTGTGGTCAGGGAAGAGTGAGTGTATTGAAAGTGTTGAATGGAAAATGAACAGGACCAGACATACAGTTCCTCTGGAAAGTAGACAACATCCAGGCAGTAACTATAAAGAAGTCAAAGAAAATGCAACTAACAAGTACATGATAACCAACACAGGAGTATAATCACCAGCTGTTTCTAAAGTGGAAAAGAGAAGACTATGCCGTCTTGTAAGGAATAATGCTACTCCTTAGCAATAAACATTTGTGCAGAGGAAACAAGAAGAGGATGTGTGTCCAATGTTTGTGTAAGTGCCTAATTCAGAATTAGTGGTGGAATTCGCAGAATATATTTCCAGTTTTGTATGTAGATTTTAAGTTTTCTATACCAAATGTACATAAAAGTGAAACACAGTAGAGGTTTATGGGAACCATGTAGTCTAGTTTTTTTTTTTNTTTTTTTTTTTTTTTTTTTTTTTTTTTTTTTTTTTTTTTTTTTTTTTTTTTTTTTTTGCCAACAACTCACAAGCAGAGAAGTCAGAACAAGGTTTGGCAAACTGTAGACTGTTTACCACATTTGGCCTGTCAACTTATTCTTGTAAGATAAAGCTTTATTGCAAAATAGCAGCTATATTCATTCATTTACTATGAGGTCAGAGGTCAGTAGTGTGACATAGTATTTGCCACACAGATAATACACAGAAACTATTACATCATATAGTGGATGTAATATTTCACTGTTGTGCTAAATCTAACGAATCTGTCACCTCTGGTCAGAAGTGCTCAGCATTGGCAAATTTACATAGTTTCAACCAACCATACATTAGTCACTTTCTGTTCTTATACCCCAATCCAGGCTGTAATCTCTTAGATAATATACATTCATATCTTCATGCCGTCTTGGGTTCGTTAAACTGCCACAAAACATCAAAGACTAAAACTTAGCATTTTTGCATCCAAATGTGTACAATATGTGTATATACTGTGTTTATACTATACTTTGAAACACAGGCAAATCACTGTTTGCCGTCTTTACAGTGTGACAGATTACGCATCTCTGTCCTTCCGACCTAAAGAGAAGTTTTTCAGATAAGAGGTGTTCATTTCTACTCAACAGAATGGCACGGGACTCTAAAGTTTTTTCTCAGATGATGTGCGCTTTTACTAGTCTGCCAGTCAATCCAGAAGTGAGCCCCGTTATAGACACAGTTTACCAAAATATCCCGAGAAGATCTGCCCTAGGGATTAGAGAACTCAAAGATTGGAGAGTCTGTTCAGCACACTTCCTCAGCCATGCTTAAAGACGGCATTCCGTGCCTTAGTGTAGTTCCAAACGAGGAGCTCTTTAAAACCGTAAAGCAGGACTTCTCTAAGAATGACACGGGAAGAAAGACTAGAACGTCAATAGAGAACAATTATTAGAAGCTGTGGACAGCAAAGGGTAGGATGAACTCTGGGAAGAGGAGGCAAATCTGAAAAAAAAAAAAAGCAATCATAATGTCCTTAGCAGAAGTGATGAAAGGCTTTTGAGTGTTAAGACCATCAAAGCAAGAGGACTAAATTAATCCAATCAACACTATTAGATGCCCATTTAATGCCAGGTACCGGGTTATCACAGCAAGAGGCAGAATGACAAACCAGGCACCGGTGTTGTATTCTAGTGCAAGACCCCCCCTCTCTGGGGGGGGGGAAGTTAAGACCTGTGTTGTCCTTTTGTAGGGGATCTGAATTTTCTTGGTTTGGCCAGGTTACTCAGAAACCCAAACCTCTGTGTGTTTTCTCAGTCCCACCAGAGGAAGGTGCCTTTCCCCCTCCGTATGCCCTTGTAAGACCCATGGTTATGCTGTGGAGGAAGAAAAGTTCCCCTAGCTGGGGTGAGGAAGGTAGTTTCTCTCTTCTACCTCAGGCCCCCTTTCTCCTTCACATGTGGAGTCGATTTGGCTATCAGGGCTCCAGAGGAACTTCCCTGGGGCTGAGGAAGCCCTTATCCTTTCTTTAAGGGAGGTATTCCCAGTGGGCCCAGGACCAAAGGTTTTCTTTCTATCCCCCTCCTTTTGGTTTATTTCTACTTTTCAATCAATAATCTGAATAACTAGATAATTCAAAACTCACTGTCCTCTGAAAAACCTCAGGTTCTCATTAGTCTCCTTGAGTTTTATCTTTTACATTCCCAACAGCTCCTGGCCACCCTCGTCATGACTGAGGAGAGGGCAAGGGCCAGCTTGAGAGTAGAAACACTGCCCTTGGACCAGGAAGAGGACCTCTTGAGGACAATGCAGCCCCAGGAGAGTGGATTCTTCCCTCTGCCTGACCTGACTGGGACCCCAACACAAATAAAGGTAAGGATGTTCGGAACAACTTTTGCCAGGATGGAAGGCAGGTGCTAAAGAAAAAAAAAAATCCACCGATGTCTTTAGTGTCCGTAAGGTTACGCAAGAGCCCCCAAGTTACCTGCTGGGTTGCTGCAGAGACTCTGTGAGGCTTACTGGGTGTGTTCACTCCTATAGACCCGTATGTGCTAGCCAACTAGCTGGCAACCAATATTGCTTTTGTTATGCAATTGGCCCCATGTATTAGAAAGAAAGTTCATAAGCTAGAAGGGTTTGAGGGTATGAAGAGGTCCCAGTTACTGGATGTTGCTCAAAGTTTAGAAACACTTTGACTCTGTAGTCAAATTCTTGCAAAACAAGAAATTGGCCAGAGCAGTGGTGGCAGCACTCAGGGAGATTGATGAAAGTCTTCCCAGAGGGGAAGCCAAAGACGCTGGGAAACACAAAAGGCTAGAAAGGGACCAATGTGTTTATTGTAAGCAAAAAGAAACACTGGAAGAATGACTGCTGGAACTGGAAGACGGAAGAAGGATGCCCTGACCTTCATTTGGGTAAGGAATGACAGGGCCAGGGTTCCCCTCTACCGAGCCCTTAGGAGCTCAGTGTAGCATTAAAGGTAGGAGACAAAGCTGTTTAAATTACTGATTAACACAGGAGAAGCCCACTCAGTCCTTGCAGAGCTGCTCGAAGCACTGATGTCTCAATGGACAACCATCAAAGCAGCAAAAGGACTCTTTTCCCCTGGCTAACTTCTCAGATGATGGACTTCGGGAAGATACTTTGACCCACTCCTTCATTGTGCCAGACTGTTCCTATTCCCTAGTGGGAGAGATTTATTGAAAACTCTACAGGACACCATATCCTTTAGAGGGGGCTCTAACAAGGTCACACTTACACCAACAAGGCCACACCTCTTAATAGTGTCACTCCCTATGACTAAGCATTCAAACACATAAATCTATGGGGCCATTCCTATTCAAACCAACACACACTTCTAAAGGCCAAGTAGACCCAATATCAAGGTTTCATCCCATCTGAAATTATGTTTGGGAGCCACCATAAGCTAAGAGATGTTCATAAGACCAAATTACAAACGAGGTCCTTCTCAAGTCCTTACAGACCCTGCATCAAGCCCAGAGGCCTATTCATTAGACAGTTTAAGGGGCTGCATTCTTGCCTGTGTCTGAACCTGCCCACAAGTTCCAGTCTAGGGATCTTACGTGTATAAAGAGAATCAACCTAGCATTTGAAGCCAACATAGAAAGACCCACACCCTGTGATCCCCATAATCATATTTCCAAGAAAAGGAAACCCAAGACAAAGAAAGGTTTGGTCAAGGTCACAACGAGTAAACTCTCAGGGGATTGGAATAAACGGCAGACTTGCCACGGTCCACTCTTCCTCTGGTTGTTCATAACAATCAAAAATAGAAAACCTGTCAAGCTGATTCTAACAGTAACATTATCCTATAGCTAATAAGGTAATTGAAGAAAATATCAACAGGAGGCATAGAAGTTTAAAGAATGTCCTGAGAATGCTGTTAGCAAAGACCTCTCGAAGACAGTTGCACATCATTGTGGCAATTCCGTAGGTTTTTAGACATAATTAGCTCCCATATGCAGACCTCAGGGTCTTCCATCAGTAACATAGATAGATAACGATGGCACCCAGAGGAAAAGAATCCCTGGTCCAGTTGTCTAACTGTCTATAAATGCCTAATCTCTGAACCCAGTAAGACAGTTAAAAGGGTTCTGACCATGTGGTCTGGGTCTCTGTTCTGATGAGCATGTGGGATTTTAATTTTCAAAGGGAAATGAGAGAAAAACAGGGGGTTTTCTGATGATACAATCTGACTCTAGAACTTTCCCCCAAACAATTTTCACAGTGACTTGTTAAGGAAAAAAAATGGATTAAGAGGAAATGAGCCAAAAAGCAAGTGGGGACAGTGAAGAAACCTCAGGCAAAATTGACTTAATTTTTCAAAGGGGAGCAGAAAATTCAATATTCAATATTTAAGTAAAAGACACAGATTTTGGTGTTATTTAATATATTATCTCAACATATATACTTTATATATAATGTCATAATATATAATATAGATATTCTGATAGGAGACCCATAGAGGTAACCTAGTGATGGAAAATACAGGATCTTCTGGAAGAAGAATAAATGGATAAAGTTCATCTTCATAAGACCTTCAAGCCGCTCTTTGGAATTTGATGGTCATGGTGGTGGTTTTGAATGGGAACTCTCCCCCATAGGCTCCTGTATTTGAATGCTGGGTCCCCATTTGAGAAGGTTATCAAGCCTTCAGGAAATAGAGCCTTTCTGGAGGAAGCCTATCCCCAAGGACAGCATGGAGGGCTTGCAGCCTGCCCCTACTTCCTGCTCTTTCTCTCTGCTTCCTGTGTGAGGATGAAATGGGTTCAACCAGCTTTCTACTCTTGCCATTACGAAACCACAGGCCAAAATGAATCCGTTCCTCCTGTGTTGGTTTTGGTGGGGGTATTTTTCCCACAGCAACAGAAAAGTAACTAATACAGAAAACTATGGACTTTTCACAAGAATGCATGGCCTCTTCTCCCTGAGCAACTTAACCTAGCTCTGGAAATAGTCTAGTAACTGGAAACTTGTATTCTCTTCTGCAAATCGGCTTTGTGATTCTGACTGCAAACGTGCAAACAGACAGAAGATGGGAAGAGACTCCTTCCAGACTGACACTATAGAACAGCGATATTGTGGTTTCTTCTTCACTAAGAGGACAGCTCCATCCTATCTTCCTCAGTGCTATCATTCCTGCTAAATGCCTATCAGTTAGTTAAATACAGATTAAGAATGGCAATCATGAAAATTGGACACGGTGGCACATGCCTTTAATTCCAGCAGTCAGGAGGCAGAGACAGGTGGGTCTCTATGAGTTTGAGGCCAGCCTGGTCTACACAGTGAGTTCCAGGAAAGCCAGAGTTACATAGAGAAACCTTGTCTCAAAAAAATTAAATAACAGTAATACTGTTCACTGCCTTCCCTACAATGTGCCAAGTACCATTCTAAGTATTTGCCATGTTTTAACCATCTGGTCCTCACAACAAGTTGGCATGGGGGTGTGTGCAGTGGTGCAGAAGTGCACAGCTAGCTCCTTCACATATTGTGAGTGGCTTACTAAACACCAATCCTTCCTTCCTTACCAGTAAAAATGTGCACGGCTGTTAAGAGCTACTTATTCTTCAGCACTGAACAGTGAGTTCCAGGCAGTGAGCTGGGTAGTACATGGCATCAGCGCACAAGATACTCTAGTGCTTGGCTGAGAAGCCTGCAGAGTCACTGGGAAACAACCGTTACCATGTAAGATGCCAGAGGACCTCTAACGCAGGACCATTCCATCGTACACACACTCCTTTCGCTCTTATGCAAAGAGCTCAAATGGTTGCAACTTTCACTGTAACCCGCCAAGCGTTAGCACTAATATTAAATGAATCTTGCATTCGGAAAATCAATGTGTGCCCTTGCAGTAGTTTCTCTGCATTAGTGGTCTTGCACTGTGATGAAAATGGGAAAAATTAAAATGATGTGTGTTTTTCTTAAAGCCAAATTTATTACAGTTTTAGATCTCGAGTTTTGTTTTTAAGCAAAAGCTGCCCTCTAATATGGTGTGAGAGCAGTTTTTAATTTAAAAATGTTAATAGATAAGATGTAAAGGTGATAATTGTACGTTCCAGACAACGTTTCACAATTTAACTCACTGGGGATATCTAGAAGTCCTGGACACACTGATGTATAACCAGATGGACAGAATTCTAAGAAGGCAATGGAGTTTTGTTCTTCAATGATAGTCATCTTGCGCAAATGGCAAGACTACGCCTTTCTTTATAAGAATGGCTTTGTATATTCAGATTATTCTTTCCAGAGGAAAGAAATGCATAAAGTGGATTTACAAACTCAATCTTTGTGTAAATAACTTTATTACACAGAGATGATTCTAAAATCAATATCCACTCAATTTGATTATAAGTGACACCGTAGCCAGGATAGAAGTGTGTAAGATAATACTGTCATTTTCTCCCTTAAATCAGTATGCTGTTCGAAATTTCAGGGAAGTGCATCAGTTCTTAAAAACCAGCTTCCTAGGAGGTTGGAGCAATGGCTCAATGAAGACACTGGCTGCTTTTGCAGAGGATCAGGGTTTGTTTCCCAGTACCCACGTGGTGCCCCACAATCACCTGTCACTTCAGTTCCAGGGTATCTGATGCCCTCTTCTTGCCTACAAGAACACTAGACGCACACATAGTGCACACATATTCATGTTGAGACAACACTCAAAAACATAAAATAAATATTTAAAAACCCAACTTATGGATACATAACTTTTACATACAATAAGTCCCACACATTTGAAACAGCAAATGAAAGCTTTGGATAGAGCTAGAAGATACTTTCACCACTGGGGAAAGCCCCTTTGCTCTTCCTGGCAGGCCATTCCCATCCACTTTCTACCCCAGGACCTACCGACTCAACCACTATACCTGCAGGTGGATCTTCTCGGTCACAGAATTTCATACAATTAGAATCCCAAACGGTGTGCTTCTTTTGTGCCGAGCTCATTGCGTTCAGTACATGTGCTTCAAACCTGACATTGATCTGCAGTTGGTTTTCTCTCTGAGCAGTTGTGTGAGGGTGGGTATATCCTATCTTATCTTTTTCCTCTTGATAGACATAAGGGTTGGCGAGACTTTCTGACTATTCTAAGTAAAGCTCCTTCCAATATTAGTGGACTTAAACCTTTATTAGGAATTATTTCCAATTCCCCTGAAGAAATCTCTCAGAACAGAATAGAAGCATCACCTTAAGTTTGGGATTAACTTTTTAAAAGCTCAGGTTGGCCAGCCATGTGGTACTATACTGTGCTCACAAAATGCACAAAAGAGCCATTTATATGGCGTCTACAGCAGCCTTTGGTCCTAGTTTGGTATCTGAGCTTCTCATTACATCAGGTGTAAAGTGGCATCTCATTGTGGCTTTGTTTCCATTTCCCTCAGTAAATTGCTAATGGTCAGTTGAAGTGTCATCTCCCTGAAGGTATCTTTTGTGCAGAGCGATTGTCTTCTTAAGTTCAAAGTGTCATTTATGTATTCTCCCTACGAGAACCCTTTCCACAGAAAGGTTTTGAGTTAACTTTTCAAACTTGGCACACACAGAGATGAATTTCACTACGGCACGTTCATGCATCTATGCCAACACTTTGTCCTCGCTCATCCCTTTTCCCCGCTGCCCTCTCCTCACCCCTGTCCCCTCACCTGGTCCACTTCCTTTCTTCAAACAGTCTTCCCTCTGCTTTCATGTCCTACGAATTGCATTGTAAGGACTCTTTAAAAACTGCTTCCTTCTTGGTGTGACTTGGCCCTTTCCCCGGCTTGATGAATGCTTAGAAGAACAGGAGGTTTAACTCTGATGAATTTGCCAATTTCACTTCAAGCTGTGCTTTGGGGGGGACTTGCTAGCGAATCTGCATCTATCTTCAAGGATATAAAGATTTTTCTCGTGCGTTATTCTTCTAGAAATTTCATAGATTTAGATTTTACGTATTTGGTATTATCTGTGTTTATGTGTCTCTCTCTGTGTTAAAGGATGTGTGCATATGTGTACACATATGGAGGCCAGAGGCTGACCCCTGATGTCTTCCTACTTTCCACTGTCATTTTTTAAGGCAGTGTGGTGATTTGAATGCATATGTCCCCCCCAAGACTCAGAGGTTTGAATGCTGGTACTAGTTGCTGGTACTGTTTGTGCTGATTTAGGAGGTATGACCTTGTTGAGGGATGCATGTCCCCTGAGGCTTGAAGCCTCTTGCCATTCCCAGCACCCTGTGTCTGCTTCCTTATTACGATTAAGATGTGAGCCCTCAGTCTGTTCTTCCACCCTCTATGCCCATCTGCTTCCCTTCAGTGAAGGTGATGGGCTCTGATCCACTGGAACCCTAAGCTCAAATAAGAACTTTCTTCTTTTTTTCTTGATTTTTATTGAGCTCTACATTTTTCTCTGCTCCCCTCCTTACCTCTCCCATCCCCTTCAACCCTCTCCCAAGGTACCTATGATCCCAATTTACTGAGAAGATCTTGTCTTTTTCTAGATCTATGGATGTCTCTCTTAATGTCCTCATTGTTGTCTAGGTTCTCTGGGATTGTGATTTGTGGTCTGGTTTTCTTTGCTTTATGTTTAAAAACCATTTATGAGTGAGTAAATGTGATAATTGACTTTTCTCTGCGTAACAATCCTAGCTGTCCTGGAAGTAGTTCTTGTAGACCAGGCTGGCCTCAAACTCACAGAGATCTGCCTGCTTCTGCCTCCTAAGTGCTAGGATTAAAAGTGAGCACTACCATTACCCAGCTTAATATTTTGTAATTCTCTGAATAGTTAAGTATGTTTTATATTAATTTTTACATATTATTATTTTCTGTGTGTTTCCTAAATTCAATTATTAGTTCTTGTAAGAATTCCCCTTGATTATTTGTGTCCTTGATATTGTATAAATATTTCTACTTAAATAATAGTTTTATTTCTTCCTTTATAATTCTTGTGTCTTTAATTTTTTTTTACTTATTTTGTTTCCCATTCATAATCTTGTGCACATATTTGGTAGATGGGAAGAATATCTCCTCTTGCTTTGCTCTGAGTTTTAGGAGAAAAAAAATCTAGCTTTTTAAACAGTTAGCTATACATTTATTATAGATACTATTTATCATAAAGATTTTGTTTATTTTTTATCTGAGACATTTTGTGATGAATAAGTGTTAAATTTTGCCAATTTTATTCTTCATCTATTGCAATGAAAGTATATTCTATTCTTTGAGGAACATTGTAAGGTCTTCTTCATTCAACAATCAAACAAAACAAAGGAGAAAAAAAAGAAAAAGGGAAAAATAGTTTTTCCATTCATTCTACAGTAGAGTTTTATATTGACCTTCCTGACCTTACTTCACTAACCTCAAAAATACAAGACTAGTTTTTTCAGAGCTCTCTCCCCGCTGTGTGCATGTATGATACTTTCTATAGGCAAAATTGAGATCACATTTATCAAAAAATTTTAGGTCTATATTAATTATATAATTACAAGTATTAAGAGAGTCTATAACATTCTTGTATCTTTTTTCTTGTTTTGATAATGGTTATTCTGAGATTTGAAGGATCCCCCCTCCACACACACCTTTCCTTCTACTTCCTGGAGTGACTGGAAGGTTTAGCATTGCCAACGACTGAGAAACCTTCCAGGACTTAGGCTTCTCTTTGTGGAAAGTTCTAAGCATAAATTTAATTCACTAAGAAATATGTGGCTAATTAAGTTGTCTATCTTTCTGGAGTCAGTTTTAACTTAAGAATTTTGGGGGAAATTTGCACACTTCACAATACTGCTAAATGTATTGTCATAAACATCTTTGCACACATTTCTCACATGCTACTAAATGTATTGGCATAAGCATAGTTTATATCAGATAATAGCACACTTAATCGTATAATAATACTTAAATTATCTAAAATTTAGTGATTAAACCACTTTCTTGATATTGTCTTTTTTTCTTGTTCAGTCTATCTAGGGCATTTTATCAAAATTAATCTTTGTAATTTTTTTAGGGTCTGCACATTTTCTCCTTTATTAGTTTCAGCTCTTAAATGTATGGTTTCTGACCCTCCACTCTGGCACTAGTATGTTCTTCCTTCGCTAACTTCTTTGATGGAAATTTAATTCATTTAAATAATGTCTTTCTTCTTTTTTTGTCATATGGCTATTTAATGGAACAATTGCCCTTTCAGTTCTGTCACTATTACATCAAATAAACATTTGATGAAATTGTTCCTATTACCATGAAATTCCAAAGTTTCCATTTATCTTGTATTTTATTCTTCATCTTCACAGTTATGTGAAGTTTCTAATTATTGGGAATTACTTGATGTCATAAAAGGCTAATCTTTTGAAATATTTATTTTAACCTTTAAAAAGGTTTATTTACTTTTATTTCACATGTGTGAATTTTTTCCTGTATATGTGCCTGGTTCCAGCAGAGACCAGAAGAGGGCATCAGATCTCCTAAAACTGGAGTTACAGACACTATGCGGGCCTGGGAACCAAACTAAGAAAGTAGCCTGTGTTCTTAGCTGCTAAGTCAACTCTCTAGCTCCGCAGTTCACCATGAAGTGCTCAAGCGAGCACTGCCCATCCATGGAGGACAGTGGGGAGGGGAGACTGAGAACTACCTGGGTGGACTGCCTGGGGACATCATCTTGATTTTGATGATTAGAGACTGCCTGACTAATCCTCCTAGGCTTTTTTCTGCCCTCTGGATGGCATGTGCTTGCCCAGTGCCACATTCTGTCTTGGCATGTAACCTGAGGTAGTCTTTTTTTTTCTTTTCTTTTTTTATGTCAGTGATGGGATGCCTGCTTTTGAGGGAAAATTATCTTAGTACATTCATTTAGGAAAAATTTCAATTGGCAGCCATTAAAAGTATCAGGGATAATGTCAATATTTTGATGTCTTTTTTACAACTTTTGGGTTTATTTCTGAACAGTTTTTTTTTTCCATTGGCTAAATAAACCTTGGGCAGCACTGACAGTCCTTTCCAACTAGAAAAGTCGATTACAGCCTCCAAATCAAGAAACCTAAGCCCAGAACCCTTGGTTTAAGAATGCTGAGAATTTTTTTAAGTCAATAAATAAGTAGAGAGTAAGTTTTCTGTTGAAAAGAATTAAGACTTAAAATCAATGCTCTTACTGAAACATCATAAGAGACAACTCAGGTCCTAATGTTAGGTATTTTACCGTGCAGATATGAAGAAATGCTTGAAGAGGCACTCAAAGCACAGAACGGCACAAAATACAGAGGTAGAGAAAAGAAGACCACAAGATGCAGGGGAAGGAGAGTGAAGACGAGAAACAGGCAGAGAGCGCAGTGAAATCCTTCCGCACTTCCTGTGGTTATGCCGGGAAATACACTAGTGTCCTCATCGGTGCGTCACAGAAGTTATTATTCCACTTCTCTTGACACTTGTTAACTACACACGCATTGGTTCCTATGGGGAAGAACCCACAATAAAGGGAGAAGCTGCAGAAGGTTAAAGGGGCTCATAAAAATCAGCACTCGACAGAACAATGACAGTGAATGCATAGAGTCACATTCAAAAAGACTGAAAAAGATAAAGTGGTTCTCTTTCCTCCACAGTCTAAGCAGAACAATCAAACTTTAGGGACATGAATATCACTAGTGTATTTCAAGACATTTTCATTTATTTAATTCTCGAAGAATTTCATCACTATAGCTTGATCATATTCATGTCCAGCTCCCTCTGCTAACTTCCTTCAGATCTGTCCCCACCTACATCCCATTTCAAACATCTTTAAAAAAATAACTCATCAACCCCAATTTGTGCTGTCCATATAATCCTGGGTTTGTGACCACGCACTGTAGTGTGGTTGTCTACCAGGAGCCATGCCCTTAGAGAGAACGGATTCTGCCCACTATAGAAACCACACACAGTCCATAGCAGCTTAGTGAGGGGAGAGGATGCAAGGTTCCTCTTCATCTTTCATGCAAGGATATTGAGTAGCATCCTCTTAAATGGGGCTTATGCAGACAACCACGGCTACTGTAAGTATATTAGTGGTCCTGCCAAGTTCAGAAAACATCATTTCAACCTGATTTTTCCTGATCAAAGGATCTTGCAATCTTTCTACCTTGTTCTCAACAACGACCATTGAGCCTTGGAGAGGAGGTGTTAGATAGATGTCCCATTTGTGACTGAGCGCTCCACTCGTGTTTATTCTCTGCATTTTGACCAGTTGTGAGCCTCTGTGTTAACCATGATCCTCGGTGGAAGAAGGGGAAAGGTAATGGTAGAAGCCATTCCACGAGAGAGAGAGAGAGAGAGAGAGAGAGAGAGAGAGAGAGAGAGAGAGAGAGAGAGAGAATGAATAAATAAGGAACACCTACAGGGGATATTCAAAAGATCTATTCCTGCAGACATGTAAAGCACTCACAATGCTGTTGCATGAAACAGACCAACAGAAACCATTCATACATATATTCAAGGTAGCTTAAAAATATTTTATATTCTGAGAAATTGCGAGTGCCTTGCTCATGAAAATAAGTCTTTAAAGTTGGCAGGAAAAAAGACTCCTCACAGATACTGGGTTTGAAGCCAGTGAAGCCAGAGAAGTTGAGGTGACTTAGCAGCTACCACAGGAACACTTGGCACAGCCAGGGGCTGAAATCTCCTCCAACCTGAAAAGATTCTTAACTGTGCATAAAAGGGAATCTGAAAACTGCCTGTGAGCTTACGCCTAGGCCTAACAGAGCCTCTTCATCAGCATTCCAAACCAGGCCCCAGGAAGCTAGGGAAGGAATCTGGCAAGCAGAGAAAAAAACAGGTGGATGTCTTCCCTTCAGACCTAGTCTGATGATTTCAATCTATATATCCTAATGTCTCTCCAGTGTTCTGACCACCTTCCTTCTCTTTAAGGACGCTTCTGCAGGGAATTAACACAAGTAACTTCTCGTCTGATTAAACACATCTGCCACAAAATAGCAGGTACCTTCTGAGCACAACGGAGTTATCAGAAATCCTAAAAGGAAATTATAAAGGCTTTGACGCCCTGGTGAGTTAAAACATATTTTTTCTTAGATTTTACAACAACCGAACTGAAAATCTGGTTACAATTCAATGTCCTTGAAACAAAGGCATAAGAAAAATATTAGTATAGTGGAATTGCTCATAACAGTATAAATACAAAAGTGTTTTAAGGTTACAAGTAAATTTCAAACAGGTTAAAATCAAGGTAGGCATGATGGCACACTTCCGTAATTCTAGCAGTCAGAGACTGAGGGGGAAAGGATGCTATCAGTGTAAGGACAAGTAGTCCCTAAGCAAGTTCCTGACAAGGTAGGGCCACTTTGTGAGAGATTGTCTAAAAAAAGTTGAAATCGTTTCCTCATACAAAAATTAATATGTGCTTAAGAATTTTTTTTGATTCATGACTGAGGAAACAGATAAAGTGCAATAATTAGTTCAAAAAGAACCAAGCAGCAGACCCAGTTACAGGTTAGGATGGCTCAGATCAATGGGCAAATCCAAGGCCAAGATCACTTTCTCCACAGAAGCTGAGGAGTCAGCAAACCTCTGTGGACATAATTTGCATGCAAATAGATAAAAATTTGTTCTACCCAAGTCCTGGCTTTTCTTTTTCAAGGCCTTCCATACAGAACCCTAAAAATTCCATCTATTCTCTCCTATGTGTACATCTATGACGAAGCTGAGCCTAGAAACTGGGCACAGAAGAGTAAGCAAAGAAACTTCACAGTACAATAAAAGTTAGGTGAATGCAGGCCTTACAAAACACAAAAGTTCCGCTAAATAGTTTCAGCTGCTGTTAATCATTAATAATTGTATCCTATTAGTAATTAAAATTAGTATTTAAGGCAGAAGGGCATACAAAAGTGAGAGGTTAGTGGACTATTAGTTATCTACAACCCAGACTTGAAAAAACAGCTCCTTCCATTCAGAATTAGGTAACACAAAATGGTGTGACAGTATTTTCAGGACCCCTACAACCCGCATGGATCCCCCATTACCTAATTTCCCTGTTTCTCAAACCCACCGAGAGCCAAATGCTCCATGAACACTTGCTAAATGAATGCCTGCCCACTGCTTGTCAGCATTAAGTTTGGCCCTTCCCACACACCATCCCATTTAATCTTCCCGATGACCCTTTAAATTAAACGTCACTCTCATGCTACTGAGGGAGCTGCTTACTGTGTCTTAAAAGTTGGGGTGAAGAACATCAAGAGTAATTTGACTGAGGAAACCCGCCCACTGCTTCTCCCCTTCTCTCCATTTAATGGATGCTCATTTTACCACCATTGAACTAGCTGCCTTGAAATCAAGAGGCGCTTATGTTACAATGTTACACTGACTGACAGAACATGTTCCCTTTGTGAGCAAGAACCTCTGTGTCCTTGTTTTAAGGAAAAACAAATGAACAGCATCCCTCGACAGACAGGTGAATAATCTTGCTCATAGCCTTTCAGAGTAGCACAGGGTACGTACCAGCCCAAACCATTTTGTTTCCCCTCTGGGTGCTACTCTTCCAGTGTTCCGGATAATAGAGCTGGATGAATACAACATGGCTTGTATGTGTGGCCTGCTTTCTCAGAAGCCAGGACAGCACATGGGAAAACTGCAGCATTCCATACTTACTGTATGTGTCCCGTGATGTGGTCACCTTTCTCAACAGCACCACGAGAGAGGTACTGGAACTATCTCTCTCATTTAAACGTGAAGCAACCTGCAGTGCATGTGCATGGAGCTACGGTGAGGCTGCACTTCTGGGCTCCCGCCTGTTCCTGACAGCAGCTCCTGCCATTTCTCCAAGTTACTCTATGGGTTGCACAAGCTATTGAGGCTTGCCATGACATTATATTTTAATTGCTTTTTTTTTTTTTTTGTTTTGAGACCAGGTCTCATGTGTCCTGGGCTAGCCTATAACTCACTAGATAGTTGAGGATAACATCGAACACCTGGTTTTCCTGTTTCTACCTCCCACGTAGGGAGATTACCAGTGTATACCACCACAGTTGCTTTATGTGGTGCTGGGACCAAATCCAGGGCTTTGTGAAGGACAACCTAGGCACTCTACCAATTTAGCTATGCTCTTAGCCTCATTTTTATTTTGAATGAACTTCTCTTCCTTGGTTATCGTCACAGACTCTGAGGGTACTGGAGTTCCCAAAGCATTGAATGTCAGGTGATCAGCTACTGCAGAGCGGTATAAATTCTGGAAGCTAGTTTCTGGTCACACAGGATTTGGGATGATTTAGGTGCTACACATTTATTTGAAGAGGAGCCAAGGTCAGAGAACAAGGGAAGGGAGTGGTGTTCTGTGGCTTTCAACAGGTGAATGTCAAAAAGATGTGGGCCAAATGTTAGTCTGAAATCATTCTCTCTGTTCCCCAAGTCCCCAAATAATTCCCTGCTTTCTTTGCTTGCCAGAAATAGGTTGATCTTAGAATAAAGTCTGGGGATTTTTTTTTTACACAATTCCAGATAAGACTTAAAATAAATAAGAACATAGTCTTAGAGGTAGAAGGGTTGGCTTAGTGGCTTACCTATAATATTTAATTTAATTTTCACAACTCTGTGATGTTTTAAGTACTGTCTTTATTTTGGAGACAAAGAAGTGAGATTGAATAACTTGCCAGAGTAAACAGTTTATCTTGCGCTCAGACCCGTGTCGTGGCTTACTGACACCACAGGTGTCTGAGGAGACCAAAGATTCAGTCTAGATCCGTGTGACAACTCTACAACACACACCTCACGCCCCTTCCTTTATTTCAGGTCACTTAGCCAAGTACTTGGTTATTTCCTCCACTCTGAAGTCGTTAGCTCTGAGGGTACTGTTTGTCCTTTTTTATATAAGCCTTTACAAGACTCATCTGTCTCTGGAGGGCACGCCATAATTCCTGATACCACTCCTTGCAAGTTAGACGGTGAAAAGGCTTTGTCCCTACTCCATCAGGCAGGAATTAAAGGATGATTAAAGGATGATAAGCAGCCATTATCTGATGGAGATAACGGCTATCTGCTAGGCAGAGTTACTGATGGACTGATCACTCTTGGAGTAGATCAACAGATCCTCTGTGGGCTTTCCTTGTGCAGACACTTTAAGACAAGGGACTAGAGAATGTGAAATCTAAACACTTCGAGGCTATGCTTCCTCACTACCTTTAGAGTTCTAGGGATTTCATTCTAAAGGGCCATCAGCAGTATCTGGGGTGGGGAGAGGGTATAGAAAATGAACTTTTTTGAGTCAGAAATGCACTATTTTGTCAAATCGAATTGAACTATATATACTTGGGCATGTTTATTGTACAATTTCCTATTACTTACGTAGCAAGACTAAAATTACTCAGTTGACCATTTTAAAAAAATCTTGATAACCCTCTTTACTGAATGAAGCATGTAAGTCAGCCATGGAGGGAGCTGCTCTTGTGTGACACCCTCCTCTCCACCTGACACACCCCCTTCTTGTTTTCCTAGGGTTCAAGGATGCCATTGAATGTACTTTAAGAACTCTCGGGCAAATTTTATTTGGGGGAGGTGGAAGCTCGGCTCCACACAGCAGAGATGCATGGGAAAACTGAACTTCAAGGGAAGTACATTTTCCTGAATGGACCCTCCTCCAAAGTAATAGAAGTGATCAGAACGAGAAAGGTGGACGTTTGTCAAGGTAGAACGAGGACTTGGGGAAAAGGTTTGTATACGGGGTGCTTGGCTATCCCAAGGCAAGCGATTTGTTTTCCCACCAGGGGCTCAGTTTTCCATCAGAAGAAAGGAAGGTTCTAGGCCGGACTCATGAATCTCAAGCATTTCTTCCCATAGTTCCTCAGCCCTATCTTTCCATGCACGGCTGTGGAGGAGAGCTGCCAATATACAGGCGGAATCTAGGCCCAGATCAAGTTCAGATATGTTCCTCCTTACTGTAGGGGTGGGCACGAAGGTGGGGACAGCAATTTCTTACCCACGCCATTCCCTGCTTTTCTGAACCCAAACACTTCCTTATCCTCTCAAGGGAAGGCTTTAACACCCTCGATGGAAATGTTGTTTCCCCACGTGACGTCAATGTGTTCATCTCAGCGACAGCAGCAAGCACAACTTCACTTCAGAAACTTAGACAACCTCTGGGCGGGAACAAAGTAGAGTGTACCTCACAGCCATATGATTGACAGGATAGGACTGGTTTGGCAGGGAAAGTGACTTTCTCCTATTGACTCTTCCACATCATTAGTTTCACATATGTAGCTAATCAGTCAGCAAAGTCAATACGCTTGATTTAATGAGCAGAAAACAAGGAAAGATTCTTCCACGGAGAGAGTCTTCATCTTCACAAAATCCCCACGCTGATCCTAAAATGAAGTTGATTAGACAGACTTTTCTTCTTTTCATTAGGACGGATGCATTCTCGTTTACTCTCAGATCAACCGCCCCCAACCCCACAAACTTGTGTTAGATAGTCAAAATCTACTTTTCTCTACGAACCACCCGATTCCTTCTGTACCATGGCTCAAGTGGTCTGGAGTTGATTGCCTGCTCTAGAGCCTCCTTCTAGCAAGAAACTTCAGCCGGAAGCTACTGTTTTGCTGTATGGGCGCGGGGAAGTGGGGAGGGGAATGAGGAGAGTCTTTGGATACTGCAGACTTTACCAGTTATGTCATGTTGTTTGAATGACTCACTGTAGATCTGATACTGGTTTGGACAGTGCTTCTTCAGCCACTTGCAGACATCCTGCTGCGTCCACAGGGCCACTGGTTTTGACAGCTTCACCGTAGCTGACTGCGGGAGAAAGAAGGAAGGGAGTGTCTGTCAATGTCGCCCCACGCCTGGAAAAGCACAAACGTTCAACATCCCAGTGTGCTTGAGAAAGACAATAAGTCTAGATTCCCTGAAGAAAGATATACAGCTCTTGTTTTCTCCTAACACACACACACACACACACACACACACACACACACACACGTGCAAGAGAAAAAGGCAATGAAAATTTTACTCATCCTTGAGTTATTATCTCTACTGGGAAAATACCCTTTGAAAGTAGAATTTTCTAAATGTCATAACAACAAGATAATAGGGTTTCTATGCAGGTACTTAAGTGTTAGGGGTAAAATAGCCATCGTCAAGCCCTTTCTTTGCTGGATGTGTCTATCTCTTCTCCCTGACAAGCCTGTTGCCAACTTCATCACTTGCCCCAGCAGGTGAGAATAATTATTTCAGGACTGAATGTTAGTGGACTCAGATGCCAGCATACTAAAAAGCGCTAGTCTGCCTTGGGGCTCTGGACTCAGGGTGGTCCCATGAAGCCGGGGAACATTAGTCATGGCACAGCGGGAAAGACGGAGTCAATTCTGTCCGCATGTGGGGAATCGTAATAAGATAATGGGAGTCCTTAGGCCTTATGGAGAAGCTACCTGGTCAAGACCTCTTACTGTTCACTTGATCTCCTAGGGAACTGAGCATAAGTAATAAAAATTAAAATAAAAAATTAAAAATTAAAATTAAAAATTAAAATTAAATTTTTTTAAAAAATTAAAAAAAACCCAAAAGACAGGATGTGAAAGACTCAGCCTTTGATGAATGATGGGTTGTAAATACATTTACTAATAAGGCTTGGCTCTGCCTTTCCCCTCATGGATTCCAAAAATTTAGGTTACGCTAGCTGAAAGCTCTAGGTCAATGGTTTTATTTTTATCATTCTGAACCAGTCTTTGCCCAAAGAATAGGGCTGAAGCATCAAGAATCCTTTAAAATACTCTCATTGGTACAGATATCTAGGTATGATTTCATTACTCTTCCAACCTGTTAGATTAAGGCAAGGAGAAGGTCTTAAATTGGCAGGCGTGTGAATTATATCTTCCAAATACTTGCGAACATTTTATTTTTATTTTACAGAGAAAGACTTGCTTTAGTTTTAGAACATTCAACAAAAAGCAGTAGGTCTAGCCTGCAATTATTCTTTGTTTACTTATTATTAACCATTATTTACGGCAAAGGAATTATGACACAACGTGCATTTTCTAGTTTGCAATTTGTAATTACCACCCTTCCCCGCCATGTTCCAAGTTTAAGAAAAAAACTGTATTAAGAGAAAATGGTATAGACAGACAGACAGACAGACAGTGAGATATTCACCCAGAAATGGGGAGAGAGGGAGTATGCAAATACTCGAGTAGCACTTTTTATTAATATGCTCCTAATAGAATAATTCCTTATGCCACCACATACAAAAGAATCACAAATAATGCTTTCCCTGTTTACTTCATTATGTGTGGTGGTTTAAACGCCAAAGGCTCCCTCCCATAGGGTCCGTATTTGGATACTTGGCACAATTCTTTGGGATACTTCTTATCCCAAAGAATTGTACCTTATTGGAGGAGGTACGCCAGTGAGCTTGAGCCATTTCTACATTTCTAGTGTGGTCTCTCTCTCTCTCTCTCTCTCTCTCGCTCGCTCGCTCGCTCTCTCTCTCGCTCTCGCTCTCGCTCTTGCTCTCTCTCTCTCTTTCTCCACTGTGGTTATGGATCCATATGTGAATTCTCAGTTGTTCCTTTCCTCTGTGATCATGGGCTCTAATTCTCGGAAATCGTAAGCCAAATTAAAAGCTTTCTTTTATAAGTTTACAATGACGATTGTGCTTCAACATAGTAATAGGAAAGAGAATATGTAATAATTGTTTGATTTAAAATTTTCAGAATATGTTTTTGCAAAATGATGACACGTATGTATTTTTTACATATATGTACATATATTTTATGCACTGTAACTGACATTACTTCTGCTATCAGGGGCTAATGTTTCTAGCCACTGAATTTCAGCAAGGCATGTGACCATGCTGACCAATGGAGTACAGTGGAATTTATGCTACATTATTTCTAAGCCTGGGCCATAAAAGACACAGCTTTTACCTGACTCACAGCTCAGTGTTCACCAGAACTCAAAAACCATGCCATGAGGAAGTCCAGACCATATTAGGAGAGGATATGCATGAGTTTCAACCAATCCCCAACAAAGGTCTCCTCTGATATCTACCATCAACCTTTAATAAAGTGAACAAACACCAGATAAATCTAGTCCAAGCCTCTGAATCTTCTGGTTTGGGATCACAGATACCATAAAGCAGAAGCCTGGGCTTCTCAATGTTCCAAAGTAATTCTTGACTCATGGCTAGGATTTGTGGTTGTTTGATCTCCAACTCTGGTAATGAGAACACGAAGAAACTCCTCTACCACTGTGCTCCCCCGAGGGTCTTGCACATAAGAACACAGACGGTGGCAGGTAGAGGCAAAAAGAGCAACAGAATGAGTTAATGACCTGAGAGGATTCTCATTCAACCAGCATTCTTAAGCACGGCTCACTAATCAGCAGCAGGCTTCATGCCCAGCCCTAACTGCTCCTTCCTGTGGCATACTGAGCTCATGTGGCTGGCTCTTAATCACCCATGGCACCTCTGCCTACCTCCCTTCCGCCCCATCTAAGGAAGCGGCCATTTCCTTCTTCTGTTTGAAATCATGTGGACCGTTTTCCTGATCCTGATGAGAGAGAAGAACTTTGGTCCTGAAGAATTCAAGTGAGCACATGTTTTAGTAGCTGCTGTTGTTTTGATGCTGATGCTTAATCTTGTTCTTTGGCCCATCATGACATTCTTTCCTTTGGCATGATCAAAAAAGCTGGAATCTGAGAGCCTTTAGGTGCAGATGTACTTTGTAGCTTGTTTCTCAAGTCAGCACCTCTGAACCTGGCTCTTTCCTACTCAAAATCTTTCCCCTCAGCAGAGCTGAAGGAGTTTAGAGCTGACACATCCTTACCCTGAAAGTCCTGCAAGTTTCCTTCAAGTCACGCTAATCAAATTTTTTGAAGACTCCTATAAACCAGTCAGAGCAGAGAGGACTGTAAATTAGGACGGGGAAGGCAGGAGGACGAAGTTGCTTATACATCAAAACATTAAACTTCTTATCCCGAAAGGTTATCCTGTGACTTGCTCATTGCCTAAGGAAGTGAGGACTTGAGCCCATCAGCTGTGCTTCACAGACTGATTTACCCAAATGTGTCAAGTCAACTGAGGCTGCAGCCTCACCAGCTGGTCATGGACACTTTTCTTGAATAGTTTCCTTTTATTAGAAACTCTAGTGGGTCTAAAGCTAACCATCACTTTTCCTTCAGAACATGTATATATAATATGATTCTATTATAACTATTTTACTATAATTAATAATAAATTTGGTGACATCTGCTTACAAGGAGTCAACTCAAGCTTGAGGCTGTGTAAACTTACAGGTAAACACAGCAAATGGAATAGGTTGGGGCTGAGTTCCTACCGCAATTCACTGTTTAACATCTCCCTCACCAATTGTGATGAGAAGTCATGGCCCTGTTTATCAGCTAATTCTAAACCTTGGCTGTATTATTAAATCGTTATTAGTCTGCTGCACATTGGCTTATTAAGGGGTAGCACTAATGAGTCATGGTGACAACAATCCCCCCGGTCTGCTCCAGATTTTAGATTTATCCACCCTCCACTTCTCTTCTGTAGCACGAAGATGATCCTCCATCATAGTCCCTTGAAGCAGCGTCCTATTAACTCCATTCCAACCTTGGTCGAGTTTTGGGAGTAAATACCATAGCCTGATGCCCTTGAGTCGCTTAAAACTTACTTCTATGTATGAATCGGAATAATGGACTAAATCTATCGCCATGCGTGAATTAGCACATTGCCCTCTCCGGAAGGTAAGAGCAGGGGGTGCGCAGGTGTCACGTTCTTTCTCTGTACCCCCTCTCTCTGCCTTCCAGTGCCCACACCCCTCTTTGTATCTATCACTAGACGATCATTTTTTCATTTTTTAAAATAGCTGCCAGGTCTTCTTTTTCTCTCACAGTAGGAGGCTAAACCAAAATAATAATAGTCCAAGGAGTTGAGATAAAGCATTTCATATTTGCTAGAAACAGTAAACTAACAGAAAAAAAATCCTGCCCAACGGCAAACATTAAAAAAACATTTACCCCAGTTTTCCTTCTGCATGCTCACTTTTGCCGCATCGTTCCTTGATTTACAACCCCAGAGACAATTTTGGTTTGTTTTTGCTGCCCTGGAAGAGGCCTTAGGCAGTTTATTATCTTAACCTCTGTGCTCTGTGACACGAAGCAGGATTCTAGACATTTCCGTTCTGAACTAGTACTGGTTTTTGTATCGACAAAATGAAAATGCATTTTAGAAACCTTTATTTCTCTTTTACAGGCAGACTTTATGCAAGGCTTATATCCAAGAGGAAGGTGGCTTGCAAAATATTACTAGTTTTGCAAATGATTTTTATTTTAATTTATCTACATGTAATAATTTCAGCTATGAATTATAGTATTTATAATTTGTGTTTAGCCAGGAAGTAGTATTATGTAGTAAAATTTAAACTTTCCAAGGTAAAGATGAAGCTTTTCTGTTAAGTAATGAAATAATTAAATGCTTTACAGAAATTTAGTGTTGAAAGAACACATTGAAAAGTGCCTTTAAAGCCAAATTTTATTTTTTAATCTAATTAACCCCCTCTTTTTGCAATACAAATTCTCTCTTAATTCACTTGGTTTTGAGTTATAAGAGAACACTGTAATTGCAAGCATATAATTACTGTGTAAAGCCTCTACTGGATGAGCCTGTATGAGGCCTAAATGGTTGATTGTGAAAAATCAGAGAAATTAGCTTTTTTATAGTCACTAGTGGGACAAAATGAGATTCACAGACAACTATCAGAAAGTAGTAAATACGAGCTGGGCACTTGTGGCACATACTTTTAACCCCAGCACTCGGGAAGCAGATCTCTGTGAGTTCGAGGCCTGCCTGGTCTACAGAAGCTAGTTCTAGGATAGGTTCCAAAACTACAGAGAGACCCTGTCTTGAAAAACCAAAAAAAAAAAAAAAAAAAAAAAAAAGTAGTAACTATGACTTCGGCTTCTTGTAATATATCAGTTTGGCAAACTATAGGAACTTACTTCTCTTACTTTCTTATAATGCCCTGTCTTAGTTAATTGTTTATTTCTGTAATAAGACACCAAGAACAAGGCAACTTAGAGGAGAAGGAGTTCATTTGGGGTTTACACTTTCAAAGAGTGGGCTCATGACATCTTGTTGGGAAGCATGTCAGCAAGCAGGCATGCATGGTGTGGAGTAGTAGGGGGGGGCTTACATCTCGTGACATCACCATGAGACAGAGAGCACACGGGGAATAGCGTGGGCTTTTGAAACCTAAGTGATGCACATCCTCCAACATCCTAATTTTTCCAACAGTTCCAACAACAGGGGACCAAAGATTCAAATATATGAGTCTATAGGGGGCCATTCTTTTTTTTTACATAAATTATAATTTTTATTAGCTGTGTGGAATCCTATGTTTCGATTTTTTTTTTTTACCAGATTTACTTCAACAATTTAAACTGTTGGTCATTGGAATTACTTTAAATTTTTCCTACCACTCTACACTAGTGAATTAAAACCATTGTATCAGTCAACTTCCTAGTGAAGCATATATAAAGAAAAATTACTTTAAGGTACTACTTACATTCAAAATTATTTACATAATATCATTTTTCTCCACAAATATTACATGAATTAGTTAGCGTATCATCTCAGTTCGTGTTTCTTATTCAAACCCTTTCCTTCGTCCCCTGTCCTCTTTTGCTGACTACTCTTGTGCCATCACACTTAAGACTGCAGAAAGAAGACAGGAGAGGGGAGAAAGAGGAAAAGAAGCATACACTTATATACAATAAACTATATGTCTATGTTGGTGGCTTTAAATGCTCATGCATTCAGAAAACAGTCTCTAAATATCCAAAAGAAATGTGATAGTCCACAAAATACTCAACACTGGAACTAACTAACCTTTTGAAACTAATAATGCCCACTTTAACTCTTTCATGGAAAGAGGTGTATAGAAAATTATGACAAGGATCCTTAACTATTACATTCAACTAGCAGCCTATGAAATTCACTTACTTTATTGCTTGCTATTATTTTGTGGTGTGTGTGTGTGTGTGTGTAGGTGCACATAAATGTGGTGGTCAGAGGACAATGTTAGGCACTATTTCTTAGACACTATCCATCCTGGTTTTTGACTAGCATCTCACTTGCATGGAACTTATCAAATAGACTAGGGTGGTTGACCATTAAGATGAGAAGTGCCTGCTAACTAACCCAACTCTTTTTTTTTTTTCTAGTGCTAGGGATCCAATGCAGGTTCTCATGCTTGTAAGTCAGTCAGGCACTTTACCAACTAACCTGTTTCCCTGGTCCAGGAAGTTTACTTCTTATGGCTATTCTTGGTTTGCAACTAAACACATTATGGCTGATGAAGTCCTTAAGACACAGGCCTCCCAAATAGAAGACAACTTTCTGCCAGAATACTTCTAGGAAAAAAGTAGTACATGCCCTCCTGGTTGAAGGAATGCATGCACATGTACTATTATTTCACATTCTTTTACCTTTTGTCATGTTTTTAACATCACTGGAATGATATCATTGTTTCTCAACTGTGTGGATCCCCTCTGGTAACAGTTTCTGAACAGCATCAATGGTGAAGGAACGTGGGTAATACTCCAAATGTGTAGTATGGCTTTGTTAGCTCTTTCAAATGTGTTAGATAATATTTACTCTCCATTGCCCACTGTAATTTGTTCATACTCCCCCCATAGCAGTGTTCCCAGTGTTCTGAATATAAAGATAAAATTGACTGCTGACAAGATAAAATCTTGATCATTACTGAGTGACACCATTGACTTATGCTGAACTTATAAAATCTAAACTTTTGAGTCTTCTTCAAATGAAATAAGTTCAAACTGTAGCTGTTGCTTCTTGTACGTAGATTTTCTGATTCCTAATTCAATTTTTAAGGTTTAAATTCATAATTTCAAACATCCACTAATCATTATGTTTGTTATCCTCTGATATTTGTACCAGCTATGAAAATAAAAGCTCTTTGAGGCTCTCTAACGTTTAAGATCGTACGTAACAGAGCGCTAAGGACTAGAAGTCTGAGGACCACTGTTCTAGGACACCACTGTGGTAGAGACCTTAAAAAAGGCAAAACGTGAATAGAAGGATGATCTGAGGGAAATTTTCTCTTGTTTGTCCACATTGAAACTGAGCAATGCTCTTTCTTTCCTTGATGCCGCAGATTCACACACATGGCAAGTTTGCAGGAGTCTGAGCCATCAATTAGTTCCTGTGTAAGATCTAACACGGATCCAATTTAATTAATACTTCTAAAATGGTGGTTCAAAGAGTGTGGCTATGATGAATATATTATGGCTGTGTGTGTGTTTGTGTGTGTGTGTGTGTGTGTGTGTGTGTAGGAATGAGTGACTTCACTTAATCAGTCCCTACAAAATAATAGCAAGCAATAAAGTAAATGAATTTCATAGGCTGCCAGCTGAATGTAATAGTTAAGGATCCTCGTCACAATTTTCTATACACCTCTTTCCATGAAAGAGTTAAAGTGGGCATTATTAGTGTGAAAAGGTTAGCTAGTTCCAGTGTTGAGTATTTTGTCGACTATCACATTTCTTTTGGATATTTAGAGAAAATAACCACACTCTCCCCTCTCTTCCTTCCTCCTTCTGCTCCCTTTTCGCTTGACAGATTGAAGTCTCTTCCTAAAACTCCACGGTTTTCATAAAAATATACACGAAACTCCCCGTTCATTGCTCATGAGCACTGGTGGTGCTGTTGGACGTCCACCATCTGTCTCACTAGTTCTTCAGTTATGACCTCTATCAGAAGGAAAACATCTTCCTTCTGCACTGGCTGGACTCAGTTTCACGTTCATGCCACATCAAAGCTCTATGCGATCTAATGATTTTGTTCTCATACCATGACATAAGCTGATGAACACCAAACTATATTTCCAGCCCTATCTTTTTTTTCCCAAACTATAGACTCCATTGTGTAACAGACAACTTTGCAGGTCTAATTACAGATTCGGTCCCTCAACATCACACTGAACTTGTTCACGACAGAGGTCCTATTCTTTCACCCCAAACTGCTCCATCTCTCACTCTCAACACATCATGCAATAGAAATGCATCCGGTAGACTCTCTTTTGATAGAGACTTCCTTCTCTTGCTGAGATTCACCATAGATTCCTCTGTTTCTCTTATATTCCACATGGAATCTACTAGGAATACTGAGGGACCAATGTTCCAGGATATCAAACTCCATCTCTCTTATCATTATGCTCTCAAAACTCAAGTGGAAACAGTGTCATGCTATACCAAGCCAACTACATCTGAGTATCCAGTGTAACCAACAGAATTCTGTCTTCCCTTAGTCTTCATTTTAAACATTTAAAATGGTCACCCTATCAAATGTCACCAATGTCATTGTGATTATACTTCCCCAATATGTTCCTTTCTCATGATTACAGTCTCTTTGCTGTTATATAGAAGTGCCAATCAATACCTACTTATTTTGTCCTCAAATGTTCTTGTACCTAGATGGCTTATTCCTTACCTCCAACAGTCTTTGCTCAAATGGTCCTTCTCATTAAGGGTTAGCATCCCTGTTTCCCTGTTTAGAAGTCCAGCATCCCTCCCTCTAGTACTTTCAGTTCTCATGACCTTACTCTACTGCTTCTTTCTCTGCGGCGAGAACATGCAGTACACTATATAATTCACCCATTTGATCTATTGCTTACTGTGTGCCTCTTCTCAAAGCCTAGTACCTTGCTTAAGGGAAGGCGTCTTTCTTTCTTATTCTGCGGGAAATTCCAAACCTTAGAACAGTGCCCTGCACAAGGCTCTCAATAATTACCTGGTGAACAAATGGAAGAATTGTCTGGGACGCCATAATATATCACAGCTCCTAGCCCTTCAAAGTGTCAGAAAACTGGTTCAAATCCCAGCTGGGCTCTTGACATTCTCAGGTTGAAGCATCCTTTTTTATCCCATTAGATTTTTTTCTTATAGTGACTGAGCAGAAGTTGCAGAATTTGCAGAAAAAATGCAGACGCTGTCTAGTACCATAATTCTTAGCAGCATGGCACACATCTCTTGAGTCTTAATCTTTTTTTTTCTCTTTTGATTGACACAGAGAGTGATGAGACAAGAGAAGTTTGGCATTTGGAACCATGCGGGCCTCCAGTGAAGGCCAGCTCCATCAATCACTAGTACCACTGCTAGTACTACTACCATGGATCTTGAGACGATCACCTGGACCATTCTGAACATGCTTCTCCCCTCAATATATTACAGATAATCCTTAACCTGTGATTTGTGAAAAGATTAGAAATTGTTCATCTAAGGCATTTAAATAGTACCTGAATGCACACATACTATATGTTCAGAAAAAAACCATATTGATGCATCTTTGATTGCATTCATATGCTTCCTCACTGGATCCTCAAGCTTGATTAGACATGGCACAGAGGGCACTGGTGCTCTTGGGAGGCCGGATGACTTGAGTTGTGGGCACAATGAAACAGTGTTAGGAATACTGAGTAGATCTTAGGGGAGGGGTCAGGTGGAAGGGGAAAAACTGGGAAGAGTAGAGGAGGGGAAACTGCAGTTGGAATGTATTGAATGAGAAAATATTTTTTAAAGAAAAATTGATCCTTAAAAACTGACAGAAGGAAAGCTACTAAAGAAGGAGCAGGATTTAGGCAACATTGGATATTGGAGGATATGGGAGAAAGGCGAGAAAACACAGTAAAAGGAGAAATGTTTAAAGAAAGATATCAAATGAGGATTGACACTGGTATGTTTATTCTTCCTCAGGCAGTCTATTTATTCTGAGAACTACACAAATATGACCTCTGGAGTTTATGGGAAGCTAACCACTGACTTCTGCCTCAGACTCATTTTCAGACTTCCCTATTTCCAAAGTGTCCTAATCACACACCAAAGACACAGATCAGATTCCCCCCACATACATCACATGACTCTTGATAAAGAAAGACATGCTGTTACCTAGATGAGCAGATGGTGTTGATCTACCCACATGTGTAGATGGTGCTGACCTACCCACATGTGGAGATGGTGCCGATCTACTCACATGTGCAGATGCTGCTGATATACCCACATGTGTGGATGGTATTTATCTACCCCACATGTGCAGATGGTGCTGATATACCCAATGTGTAGATTATGATTGAAAGTGTTACAGGAGATGCTTGGAAGCAAGGCTGCTAAAATCTACTGTGTTGGCACCAGGGTTCCTACCAATAAAACCCCATCGAATAAACAGGCACTCAATAGGACATAAGTTACATCTGGCAACTTACCTGTACAGCTCTAGTTACCAAGGCCTGTACTTCCTATTGGCTCAATTGCTAATATCATCAAGAGATATAGAGGGAGAAAAATCACACTGTGCTTTGAGTCTGGCTTGTCTTAGCATAGCAGGAAAATTCACCACTCAATCCCACAGATGAACACAGCCTATAAGAGAAGTATGTACAACACACAAAGGCATGCACACACTGTATGCATATTTTATTAGTAATTGTTTGTGTGAATGATGGGTGAAGAAAAGCAAATATGAAAACAAGTTTGAACCATTATGATACTATTGAATATGATCATTAAACAGTTCTGCAACAAAATCTTTTGACAGTTGAGTGGATTGAAAACAATGATGTCTTCATTGCAAAACGATCAGGTGCACTATGACTAGAGGTCTTCAGTAACATGTTTGCATCTGTTGCCATTTGACTCTGCTGGACAAGTTGGAGCCATGTGGCTTACCTTGACAAAAGTGTAAGATATATAGTTGGTTCATATCTGAGATGAGTGAGTGAACGTGCCTCTTTTCTACGTTTCTCGCTCTTGTGAAAACTTGGTGAGAACCTGCATAGTCAGGCCTGATTAAGTAGGGTTCTGGAAGATGGCAGAAGGGTATCTATGATATCATTCCAAACAGTATTAGAAAGAGTATAGTGATCCAGGATATGGGAAAATTTGTTGACTCCAGAAAAGTCATCTTGAATCTCTCCAACAATTCATAATATATAGAATATGATATTATAACAATTTATAAAGCACTTATTGCATTAGACTTATAGAGGAACAGGCTTGGAGAAGTCAAGCAGCACATAGAAAGTCACTGCTAATGAGATTTAGGGATGCATTTGGTACATATACAATAAAGTCACATGGCATAAAGACTTAACAGTTCTCTAGCCTGATAGACATAATGGAAGAATAGAGGTCAGGAATGCGGACTATGTTATTGATACTCTTGGTGCTCCTTGGCTTTCTTTATCACTCAATTAAGAAAAATGTAAACAGGCAAGAAGGCCATACCATTGTCTCAGTATGTCCAAGGCAGACATAATCTAATCTGGGTCCCCCTCTGGTTCTTCCCACTTAACTTCTGAATGAAGAACCCATTTTTTATGCAATACAATTAGATGGTGATAATCTTTCTATTTCAGTGGTATTCCCAGTAAAAGGACAATGAAAACCCATACTCCATCCATAATGTAAAAGTAAAGTAAATTAAAATAATAAAAAATGAATATTTAATTTGCATGATTTTTACAGAAAATAAGAGATAATGAATCCTACAGAACTTGAGGCCAATGTACTTTTGGTCCCAGAGAGAGAGAGCAGAAGTACTCCAAAAGTGCTGCTGGTTTGGGTGGAGAGTGGGGTATAGAGAAACAAATTCCAAAATCTGGATGCATAGTATCTGTGTGATATTTGCAATCTAGTCTTAAATTTAAACTTCCTCGAAGATACCTCAACTTCCAGCTCCATAGATTCTTGCTCATGATAATCTATAGTCTGTTGACCTGTTTCATTCAGTCAAATTATAAATAACTTAAATCAAGGCTGTTATGTATTGGATGCTCTGGGACCTCAGAATTCTCACACTGATGACCTAATTCTGAATTTGTCTTTAGATACAGATCTAGGTTAAATTAAGTCTTAAGGGTGGATCCCATTTGACAGAATTAATTCCATTGTAAGAGGGGACATCAGAGCATACCCACCCTTTCTCCCTCTACTCCCTTCCTTCTCTCTTCTAACCACAGTGAGAGTGACCAAGAGGCTATTTCTCACCAGAGCCTGACCATTATAACTCTCCAATCTCAGACTTTCAGTCTTCAGAACACTGAGAAAACACAGTTCTTACATTTAAGCCACCAAATCTGTGGTTCCTTGTCATAGTATCTAAAGTTAAAGCACACAGAATCAAACCAGCCCAGAGACTGGTTAATTCAAACTCAACACCCGAAGAGTCAAAAGATTGATGAACTCTTAAAAAATCTTACCACCAGTATATAATGAACAGGAAGATAAAGTAAAGAGAATGAATTTTAAGATAATCAAGAAAACCCATTTTATTCTATATTTGCACTTGACTTTCAAGTACTAGTTTTTAGATCACTGAAGAAAAAAAATCATTGAAGACTTGCTTCATTAACATAGTACATTAATTTTATGAACTGTTTTCCCAGAATCCATGTCCATGCACACATCTTTATGAACATTCTTTTTTGAACAAATAATTACACATCTTTATTTGATTAATAACCTGAGTACCTTTTTTGTTTCTATAATCACACTATTTACTTTATAATCTCACTACTATCAAAGAACGTGTGCAAAAGAGTTTTAAGGAAGGCACTAAAGCACAAAACACACTTCTTATCTTGGTAGGTATCTTTTCTTCAAAGAAATTTTACATGGTCTTAATTCAAGTCAAACATCTCTTTTCTCTAACTTCATTTGCAATTACTAGGGTATTTATAGTTTGTATATGAAATAGCCACCAAAAATGATTATGAATTAAAGGCATGGTCCCCCAAACAAATAATATCCAAGGGGAGATGTTTGTGGGTGTTGACTAGATCAGAGCGTTCTACCTTTACCAATGGACTAATCAACTGATGGATTCAAAATGTGAGCAGATCACTGGAGAGTGGTGAAACTGTGGATGGTGGGGAGTGCTGGGAAGAATCAGGTCATCATGTGCATGTCTTTGAAGGGTTGTCTTCTCCTGGTTTCTCCCTGTTACACCATGCTCTGTTTCCTGGCCTCCATGACGTAAGAAGCCTTCCTTAGCCATGCCTTTCTGCCATTATGTTTCAGTCCCATTAAAGATCTGGAGCTAATGGAGTAGGCCAACAGGGCAAGACCTTGAAAGATGTGAGTCAAACACATTTCTCCTGCTTCAAACCATTTTTCTTAGGTGTTGCCATAGCAATGGAAAATCGAGTAACATAAGCACCAATATCTTCATGGATTTTCTTCTTGATGTCTTTAATTTACTAGACTGCAGGAGTTATCTATTGATATCTCAGTAAGAATAATTAGAAATTAGGAATTAGAAAACTGATAGTTTCTTTCCTCATCTATCCATCCATTACGGTTTTTAGCTCTATTGGTTCCTTTTATAATCTTAAACGGTATATTTGTATTTATATGAATTTCAAATATAGACTATTTTAAATTTTTTCTCTAATTGCTTTGCTCTTCCAATGTCCTACATTTTGTCATTTACAGAATTGCTATTATGTTGTCAACATTATTTATTAAATCCAACAGCTTTTTTATTCTATATTATGATTGTAGATTGACCTGCAGTTAGAAATCAATGTGTCATTTACTTTATTATGATTTTGTAAATTTTGTTCAAATGTTGAGACAATTAGCCTACTTAGCATCATTTTTTTCTTGTACTACATTTTTAGCCATCCAATGTCATATATTTTGATAATTCTAAAGAAGTTTCCCAATAGGAAAATAAAATTTATTTTTGACATTCCAGGTATTGCTGAAATTCATGCCACAGTTCAGTTTACTTTATATTTGGAACATAAATTCTTATAAAGTTTTGGGTTTTTGCACTATCTGATTTCCTTCTTCCTTCCTGCCTCATTTCCTTTTCATTTCTGGCCACTCAAACCTGCAGACTTCCCAACTCTGTCCTCCCAAGATTTGGGATTAATATAAGCTAGCACCATCACAGGAAGTTTTTCACTCAAAAAAAAAAAAAAGAAGAAGAAAGAAAAAAAATATTTCTAAAGATTACAATCATACTTTCTATTTATCAATTTCCTTCCCCTTTTCTCATATATCTACTATATGAATTCCTCTTGACTGCATTTTAGCCTAGTTTTGATACATGGATGGATGGATGGATGGATGGATGGATGGATGGATGAATGGATGGATGTGTGGATGTGTGTGTGGATGGATGATTGGATGGGTGGATGGATGGATAGATGAATGGATGGGTGGGTGGGTAGATGGATGGTTTCCTGGATACTTCTTTCTCCCTTACTTAGTTTGCATCTTCTACTTGCTAGAACAAAAGCAGAATACTCTTTCTGAGAAGTCTTTGCATGTCATAAAAGGGTTTTAATCTATCTTCACACTTTGGTTAATATAATGATTAGATTTGGAGTTCTAAGTTAAAAAAAAAACAGTA